TTGGACTAAATAAATATCTAATGTGTTAAGTCCAACCTGTCTTTAGATCATGTTATCATTGGCCCATTAGGTTTTTCTGATGTGTCGTGGAGGTTGATCTGAAATTTGATGTTCAAAGTTTCCTCTCCTTGGTTTCTGTGCTTGAAGACACCACCTTCCCATCCACCAGCGTCTGTGTGACCGTCATTACTTTCACCTTCTTTTGCTCTTCAAGAGCATCCTGGAGCCTGCAGGAGAAAACATACTTGTTACCAACCACACAAAACAAATACTCTAGCAAACCTAGTCACAAAGTTGAAAAACCACAGGACACGCCTACACAAATGGTGAAGTGCTGTGAAAAAATCTCTGTATGCTTCAGAAGAAAACTTACTTGAAGTCCCCACCATCCAGAAGCCTCCTGTAGGTGGCAATTTCTGCCTCCAGCTTCATCTTGATGTTCAGCAGAGACTCGTAATCATGCGTCTGTTGCTGGATGTTGTTGCGCAGTTGTGTGAGTTCAGCCTCCAGTTGCATAACGACAGCATTGAGACTCTCAATCTCCATGTTGTAGCGCATTTCTGTGTCTCGCAGATTGGCCTCCAGTGATCCTTTCTGGAGAATCAAACAAAGAGAACCCAAGAGTTTGAGTAGACTTCATTGAGAAGAAGTCTTGAGACAAATTCAAGACATGATACTTGAATACAGCTAATTTAATAAAAAGGATTGTAAAGACCAGTTGGAAATTGCAGCTTCTACAATGGCTACAAGAAAACAAACTCACCAGGTTCTTCTGTGACCCCAGCTCGATCTCCAATGTCTGAATTTGTCTGCGAAGTTCGTTGACTTCTGTACGTGCACCCTGGAGGGCCTCTGTGTTCTGTGTGACTTGTACCTGAATCTCTGTGATCTGGAGAGAGCATAACATTTCACTTTAGTCGCAAAACAGTGCTATCGACGTGCAACAGTGTTTAACAAGACTTGATTTCGAGAAAATAATTATCTTTTGGAATATACCTGAGATTCGTGCCAGGCCTTCAGCTCCTCCTGGTTCTTCAGAGCCATCTTCTCATACTTGGCTCTTATCTCCTCCATGATCTGGGCCAGATCTTGTCCTTTAGGGGCATCAACATCCACCTGCACTCCTGACTGGGAGATCTGGTTACGAAGCTCCATTACCTCCTGTTGGGTGGAGAAACCATAAAATCTTAAAGCAACACCCATAATGTCTTAAAGCAACACCCATAATGGATTATGAGGTAGACAGATGTTTCCAGATGTGCTAATGTCCAAATGTGCACTCACATTGTCATGGTTCTTCTTAAGGAAGATGAGCTCTTCCTTGAGGGCCTCAATCTCGCTTTCAAGGTTCATGCGGTTCAGGTTGGTGTCATCAATGATCTTTCTCAGGCCAGCAATGTCAGCCTCCACACCTTGGCGGATGGACAGCTCAGATTCATACCTGCAGGCACAACAAAGGTCAATGGTTCGCTCTTCTAGGAAACTAGGAATGTTCCCATGAGGTCAAAATATGTGTTATGTTTCGCAGTTTTGTTAACTCACTTGACTCTGAAGTCATCAGCTGCCAGGCGGGCGTTATCAATCTGGAGCACTAGCCGGGTATTGTTTGCGGTGGCATCAAAGATCTATAACCAAAACAGAAATCACTTAATTGAATCAGTCAGGAAACCACCACTGAACAATGCAATGTGCAGTTATGACACATAAAACCTCACCTAACCTTAACTGTTTTACAAATGTTTTAGGGTGATGTATAATGTGTAAATCTCATGGTCACTGTATACAAAGCTGCAGTACCATCTTCTGCTCTAATGTCTTAGTTTGCTTAGATAAGAGGTACTGGAGGACAAAGTTCATTTCACAGTTTGTTAGATAATCATTAACCAACAGCAATGTTGGAAAAGCAGCTGGTGTCTGTTTGACGGTTGTAAATTAAGTTGTATAGCAGGAAGAGCAGGGGTTAAGCTGGATTTCCTGTTTTTTTATCCTAATGTGCTTTGTTTTGTAAATGCTTTCCATGTTTGCAAGCCAGCATTTCCTGGCATCATGGAAAAGGAGACAGACATATAATACTTTTAACAGTTTAACGCAACATATTTTCCATATGCTAATGGATGTTGGCTATGTAACTACTAACAATAGTCCTACTTAAATGTGTTTTATGTTTTGATTGAAATAAATAAGTTATATTTTATTATGTATATTGTGTACTTCACTGAGCTTTTAAACTGAAATATTCCTTTCAGTGCTCTTTTCCACAGGCTAATCTCACAGCTAATCCCATTTACTTTTGTGACTGTAAGAAACCCTGATGGATAGGACTTTAATTCTTTTAATTTAATCTACCTGTCACTTTACTGCATAGTCACTGATGAAAGAAAAGACAATCATTCTGATAACACTATCTGGTTATCAGTGACATATCAGCTTTAAAGTTCAGCTTCAAGATACTGTTGGTGTGAAACTGACTCTAATCAGTATTTTATCATTAACGGCATCTGCTTTATGAACTTCTTTTCAAGAAAATGTAGACTAGGACTATATACATGTAGCTATGAATGAAGCTAGCTTTGCTAGGAATATGTCTGCCAAAGTCTCACAGCTGCTCACATTTTGCACTGTCTGAACTCTCTCGACTTTTCCATTTCCCTTATGACACAGACAGATGCTGAAACATCTCAGATCCCAGAGTTTCCATCCACAGGGAATAAACAAGCATCTTGATGTGTAACAGGACAAGAATAAATACAGGATGGAAATGCCTATTCACCGGAATACCGGCTGTAAGCAGAAGTTACGACTGCCGTCCCGCAGAGACTGAGCCTCCCTCCCCCATGCCTTCCCCCTGTTTTTGGTTTCACCCATGGTTTATTTTTTGGTTCTTTGCCTATCAGTGCTGGCCATCAGTAAACTCTCATTCAGCTCTTTCAAGCTTTAAATGACAAAGGAATGCCTCTGTTTTGTTAGTTTCTGTCCTGAAACCCAATAAATGTCCACTAGACTGTTAATAAACACAAAGCAGCACAATTAGACTGTCACATTAAGTTCTTTATAGATGCCATAGATTTTCTGTACCTTTCTCCTATTCAAACTCACCTTCTTGCGCAGATCGTCAACGATGGGCTGGAAGCGGCTGTAGTCGTGGACATCAGGACCTTTCTTCTCCAGGGCCTCACGGATCTTCAGCTCCAGCTTGCTGTTGGCCTGCTCCAGGGTCCTCACTTTCTCCAGGTAGGAGGCCAGACGGTCATTCAAGTTCTGCATGGCCATCTTCTCATTGCCCATGATCTCACCTGTGGCTCCAGTGGCACTCACTTGGATGGAGCTGGACATTGAGGGAAATCCCACACCACTGCGGACACCTGAGTAGGAGGCAGAGGAGATTCGGGTTCCTTGACCTCCGGCGCCGCCGTAGATGCTCGCAGCCCGGTAAGTCGGCACATTGGTGGTACGCTTGATGGACATCTGGGACACCGGCACCTGGGAGGTGGAGGAACGCACACTGTAGCTTGTTCTCAAACTCATGCTCGCTGAAGTGAATGAACAGATGAGTGATTGAAGGCCTGGAGAGAGGTAGAGCTCAGTAACAGAGCCAGAAGAGTGCACAGGGCATGAGGGACACTCTCAGGCTTTATGAACAAACTGCTCATAGAAGTCCTGCCCACAAGCCCCTCCCTTCAGCCAATCACATTCCTCCATGTCTAGAGTGTGGTTCTGTGGGTTCTGTGACTGGATTCCTTTAAGAAGTTTGTTATTATAAGTGGCTCCATTTTACCTCTCTGAAATTAGAGTGAAATGTTCTTCACATCTCAATCTTTTTTAGAGTTTTTTTTTGTATCAAAAGAACATGCAGTCTTATTATTAACAAAATATGATGTAATATGAACATGAAACATCTCTGATATACAGATATGCTAAACAAAAAAGAACAACTTAAGTTTTTATACATCAGCATGAGTAAATCCTGCAAAACTGAGCAGATTGTTAGTTTGTGATACCTAATGCATTAATTAATGTTAACAGTTATTGTAAAGAGTTACCACTTAGTCACACAACTGTTATTTTTGTTATTTAAAAAAATATAATGTAGGATGAAATTTACAAGCTCTATTGAGTAACTTGCTTCCAGAGAATCCAAACCTCTTAGACACTCATATTGAGAAATCATTATATTTTGCAATTTGTCGACTTTTTTTTTCTGCACATACTGTAAATGAAGAAAGCTTTTTGTGTTGCGGCAGGCAATCTTTCTTATCTTTCTCATCTTTCTCATCTTTCTCTCTTAACCAGTGCACTGGAAAAACTTGCAAAAATGAACAGAGAAAATAGGTTTAGCCTATCACGATTTTCTAGTTGTGATATCCGATCACCAAAAGGATTTTCCTGACTGCCACGCCTGTAAAAGGATGTGTGAACAAAGGAACAATTAGTCTAGCTCCTGAGTACACACACATGTATGGACAAAGAAATTAGCTAATCACTGAAACCTATCTGGACCCCCCTGTAGTTTTAAACCATTCGCATGGATTAGACCCATACCTGTTTAAAATAAGTTTCACAAAGATGAGTTTCAGATGAGAAAGCTGATACTGTGCCCACATTCCTGAAGGATTTATTTTCGGTTTGTAGGTTGTATTTTAGTTTTATTTAGACAGAAAGTAAAACGACTAAATTGCTAACTTTGGAAATACACAAGAGATTTAAGCTGCTCAAAAATATGTCAGAGTGGTATAAAGGCTTTGATGTGTGTTTTCAAATACAGGACAAACTGACCTTTTGTTTATTGAAAGGCATTTTCCCATAAATATATTCTGTGGAAACTTTAGGATTTCATAAACAGTCTTAGTAAAGCAAAGCTAGTTTGTGAGAGTGTCTGGCTGTGGCGATCCTCCCTTATCCATTGTGTCAGAATGTGTTTGTTTGAGGCTGGAAGGGCACAGGAGGAATTTAATGTGAAAGAATGTAGATCAATGTTTTTGAGCCCATTTCACAATCACAGGCTCTCAGTTTGCTATTGTCTATTTACCCATACAGAAAATTATCCTTTTTGCTGTATCAGTTTTTAAAGAGGCCATAAACTCAATTATGAACGAAGTAGAACTATTTTATGAAGGTATTTAGTTGTATTTATTCATTTATTTTATGAATACTTTCAATCAGACTCTTCTTGTATGGTACTCTAATGGAATTATTCATAATTTTAATCATAATGTAGTGACTTTAATTTGTGACTTTGGAATATTTCGGTATTTTACATTAAGTAAAATTAGTTAGTTAATGATAATTAATGCATTAACTTACATTAACTAAGAATTAGTATTTATTAATATTTTTTTAACGTTAGTTTTAAAAACTGTTCATTGTTAGTTCAAGATAGCATTGGTCCATTAAATAATATTAACATATACAACTTTTGATTTCAACAATGTATTGGTGAATGTAGAAATTAACATTATCTAAGAATAATAAATTATTTAGGAGCATATTTCATTGTTAGTTCCTGTTAACTAATGTATTCTAATCTTAACAAATGGTACCTTATATGTTACCAATATTTAATAACGTACAACCATTGAATGAATTTAAATCATTTTTTATGGCATTGTTGCTCTCTTTCCTATTCCGGGTGTGTGTGATCATTCTAAAAGATTTTAATCATTTTTCCTAAACATAATGTAATCCATTGTTTCTCAACCCTGGTCCTGAGCGCCCCCCAACACTGCACATTTTGTATGTCTCCCTTATCTGACACACCCATTTCAGGTCCTGGAGTTTCTTTTAATGAGCTAATGAGTTGAATCAGGTGTGTTTGATTAGGGAGACACACAAAATGTGCAGTGCTGGGGGGTGCCCAGGACCAGGGTTGAGAAACACTGATGTAATCGGTGCTGTGGGTTGCCAGATCCTCTACCCTTGTGAAGGATTGTAAAACTATTGCTGTAAAGTTCTGATGGAGTCATGAAAAAACAAGCGGGTGGTCCAGTCATAACTCATCTGGGACATATTTGAGGTGTGTCCTCACAAAAAGAAGAACATTTGCAAAAACAAACACGCATGCACCCACTCTCAGTTCATAAATCCATGTTATACAAAATGTTGAAAGACTTCATAATTCTTAAAAAGAAAGTATTCACATGTCCACAACATGAAGGATAATTGATCTGTGTGTGCATTACAGCTGTCATGGGAATCATAAGGAAATAAAGTTTAAATGCCAGTCACACTGCCTAATCTAATATGGGCGGGGCGGGGGTGGGGACGGGGTCAGGGGGAGTCACCTGAGCACTGATAAAACTGAGTCATTTTAACATCAGGTGAAAGCAGTGCCATATATGGGCACGTTTGACATGTCCTCATGACATTGTGTTTGTACATCCGTTGACAGCACCAGTGAGTAAATACAGGGATTACTATTAATTTACATAACTCAACAAAGCAAACTTAATTGAAATAAAAACGGATGCTAAAAGCCTTTTAGTTATGTGTAGCATTGTATGTCGTGCTAAGTATAGCTCAATAAAGTGCCTTTTAAGCCCGGGATACACTGCACGATTTTAGCAATCCTATAAGATCATTACTTTATCACACTGTGCGACATGGATCGTTTAAACTTGGGTACGACAAGCATGTAAGCCTGGGATACACTGCACGATTTTTGGCTGTCCCAGACGAAAGATTGCCATCGTGAAGCAATCGTGGCGATTTCTGTGATCGTGGCTCTTAATGTCCTATGTCGCACAGTGAGAGAGGTTCAAAGACGGGCGTTTTCACGGTCTTGCGACCAAAGATAGCCTACGATAGTTTTCTGACAGTGTCAGAAATTCAACATGATCAACGCACAGTGTGTTTGCTGCTACGACCTGCAACGTCTACTCAGCAGCCAATGAAATTGCAACATGAAATGGCATATTGATCCACGCAACCAGCGGCGCTAAAATTTCAATGCCATGGAGGCAAAAAAAAGTAGAAGGGTATGTGGGATACCCATAAAGAACAAATTCTTGTTGAGTTGTGGCAGCAGAGGGCATGTTTGTACGATGTGTCCTCTAGCTGCTATCATGACCGCACCAAAAAGGACATAGCATGGAAGGAGATAGCGGAGGAACTGCAGCTGCCAAGCTCCCTGTGCAAAACTGGCATCCCAAGTTGTCCTCTTTTCCCAAGCCATGAGCGGGTCCATATTGCCCTCTTCCGCCGGGCGCCTCTTCTTTGTTTCAGCGCATATGAAAAGCACAACTGCCAAAGCGCGATCCATCTTGATGTACCGGTATTTGTTCACCACTAGCGCATGCTGATGACGTTGCGTTAACGTGTGTCATAGCCGTCGCAGCCTACGATTCAATAGGTGTCATCATCGTACAGTCTACAGCATTGTGCAGGCGGATCCGGCCTCATTATTGGTTTATTGGTTGACTTTGAGACTGTCAGATATAGTCATCTGAATGATCTTGCCTGGAGTTTGTTTGAATGAACTGTCATAATGGCTCATAATGGTGTTTTAAATGAAAGAACTTGTTTATCTAATCCTATTAATCACAACACAAAGGATATAACCGGCTGCTTCTCCCAATCCCATGACAACTCATCCGGAATCACACCAAAAAAGAAAAAGAAAAAAAAAGAAAAATTTGAAAAGTTTGTTTGCTGTTCTTTTGAACTCTCTATTCATCAAAGATTACTGAAAAGTGTATCACAGTTTCCACAAAAATATTAAGCAGCACAACAGTTTTTATCATTGATAATAAGAAATGTTTCTTGAGCAGCAAATCAGCATATCAGAATGATTTCTGAAAGACCATGTGACACTGAAGTGTAATGATGCTGAAAATTCAGCTTTGCATCAATAATAAATTGCATTTTAAAATATATTCAAATAGAAAACCTTTATTTTAATTGTAATAATATTTCTCACTATTAGAAAGAAACATATGAATAGATTGAACATTATGTTAGTGGGATTGAGTGTCATGCACGGATTGGATAAACATGCGTATGAACTAATGAATCAGTCATTTTGGTCCAGAAGTTTGTCGTCAAATTAGTTGATTTAATAAAGACTTTTGTAGTTGTTTATAAAATCTGTGAGATGTTTTCTCAGCTCCCAGCTCCAAAATTATGTGAAAGACATTGCAGTGGTTAGATTAAAGTAAGCTGTTATCCAGAGCAAAGGAGTTGCATGTTCAGCACATAATGTTTGGTTTGATGACATGAGGTTTAGTCTAGGTTCATAAGTCATACGATGGTCAGAGACAGTTCAGTCCTCAAAGCATCTGCATGTGAAATACGCTGGGCTCAATGCTGGCTTTCATGCATTTCTGATGACAACTACAGCCATAGTCATAACCATTTATGAGCAATATGTGCCATCATCCAGGCTAGTTGTTTGAAAAAACAGGATCATTTAAACTTAAAATCAGACAATTTTTTTCCCGTCTAGGCAGATGCGCACAGAGGGTGTGGCACTAACCAAATGGTTTTTTTTTTATAGCTTATCAGCACTTTAAAAAAAAGTTTGCCTGTAATATTGACATGAGTCATGAAGTGTTACACCGCGTTTCAGGCTGAATCCGGTTGGTGTGGCACATCTTATTTTTAAAACAATTTTGTCTGCCAGTCTGTCTAAATATTTTTTTTTATTTTTTTA